ACACTCTCTCCCGCCATAGTTCCTGTCAGCGCCCTCTCCAGTCCCCTGGATCTGATAAATGATATCGGGAGGCCGGAGTATATGTAGGTGAACAAGTTCTCTTAGCTTAGGACCCCAAGCAAGGAAGGGTTCGAGGGAATAAGGAACGATGCGTCGCACACTGCTGGTATTGCTAAATGCTAACCACTTTCTTTTACTTTTATTAAAAGAACGATGTGAATGCGCTGGGCCGTACAAAGGAATCGTGTGACTTACAAGTTTGAGGGCATTCAACACGTGATCGATGCTAGCTAGCAATTCTGGTCTTTAATTAATGAGTTACAGAACAGTACAAGACAAAATCAACATATGACTATATGCAAGTCTAAGGAGGAATTAGTCACGATGCAGAGGAGAGGCTCTTTTAGCGAAATCATAATTGGAAAACAAGTTTAATAAGGATAATTAGTGGATACGATCATCTTCTTGGACCATTAATTCTCTGAGTATCTAAATTCAAATATATTAGTATTGAAATACGAGTATAACATTTCTCAAACTTAATGTTGAGATATGTAAAATAATATAAAGTAGCCATAAAGACATTGTTTAAATAAAGCATATTCTTTTCTTTTATTAGGAAATCAATTTTTTCTAATATTTATATAACCAACGAATCCTACTCCGGACAAGAGTATTTTCATGGTTTTGTCTATTTTGAAAATTCTTCCTATAATTTAAAATCTTTTTCACAGCCATATCAATATTTTGGCATCCTTACACTCATAAAAAGAATTTGCTTTGGTTACCTGGTTGTTGAAAAACAGTTCAATGCTTCTAAATATAAACTATTTATTTTCAACACAATGATTTTGGGTTTTAGCTTTTTATAATTATCTTCGAATAACGCTCAGAACCATTTTCGTCGTCATTTCGACCTCTTAAAAAAATTTACAGCCTAAATTATTTTCTCCTATTTTTAGTTTTTCTTATTTCAAGTTTCAACTTTCCCTTTCTTTTTGCAGGAAGCCAATTAAATACGATACCGATTATAGTTGAAACATGCATTTTTCATTAAAAAAAATGATATTGGTCGCCAATATATATGAAAATTAGTTTTTAAGTAGATAAATATTTTTAAAATTTAAAAATGTTCGCACAGTTGTTAAATAAGTATATGCATTTGAGGGGATCAGTTGATCCATAAACTACTTATACTCAATTCGAATAATTTCATTTTTAACTTTTCTATAATTATTCTCGGTATTTTATTTTAACCTTCTATTTTTGATCCTTTTTTTTATTAAGAGACTAATATTTCTTTTATAATGAAATAACTAATATTAATGAGTTGGTTTTAAAATCTATTCACACGTGAATGCATCATTCTGTCTCTTATATTAAATTTAGTTTTATGCTTTTATCATTTATTTATTAAATTAATGTCTTTCCCGCGGAACGCATGGATACGAATATATTTTTCAGAAAATGGAGGGACGTAGGAGCAAAAGCGTTTTCTTTTTTCATAGGGCAAGCAAAAGTTGTTTTTAGAGTAAAATACACTTATTACTCTTCTATTTTATTTCAATTGCGAAAATATTCCCTCTATTTTGAAGATATATATAAACCTCATTTATAATTAAAATATATGTTACATAAATCTTCCTTCTATATTTAAGATTTCATTTTCATCCATCTAAACCATTAAGTTTGACTTTAAAAATTTTTTTGACTAAAATGCCCCTTTTTAACTTAATAATTATTTAGACATTTATATTTTTCAAAAATATGTTTTGTAAAATCAAAAAATACTTCTAATACATGTATTTTTAAAATTTTTAATATGTTATAAATTTTTTTTATCTAAATCATAAAATTTTTGTTTTATAGTTTTAATTTATTTATCACATTCATTAGAAATTATTTACTTTGATTTCTTTTAAATGTAAGAGCATTTTCAAATACATAGTTTTTGTTTATTGTAAAGTTTAGGTGATATAATTTTGAAAGATTATTAATTCTTTAAATTTACAATTCAAAACTTTCAACATATCTTTGTTAAAAAATTTATAAAGATATTCAGTCAAGTATATATATTTATTGAAAAAATTGGTTGAATTTTCAATCAAATCTTTTATATTTGCCTTAATTGAATGAAATTTATATAACTATAAAAAATAATTTAAGAATTTATTAGAATAAGGGGTAAAATAGTAAATAAATTTATTTTAATATAATTTTCATCTAAAAATAATATTTTTAAAATATTTTTACAATACTTCTAATGGTAGTAATTAATTGGACTAAACTCTATATTTTACAAAAAAAAAATTTGTGTAATTAATGCAACTAAAAATAGTTATAGTAGTAATAAAAAAAAAAAAATTGGGAAGGTTGGAAAAGGCTTTTAGGAGCCCAGATCATGGTAGTTTTTTTGTGCCAGCCCATATTCTTCTCAAACATGAGAATGTTAGTGTTTGCAGGCCATGGCTAAAAAGAAACTTTTGCAATGCACTTCAGCGCTGTTTAAATAATTTACAAGTAGTTTTTTAATTAGGTTGACGAAATATAAGATAAATATATAAAAAAAATTTATTTCATAAATTTATTTAAAGTAAAATATGTTTATAAATAATTTAAATCATGGGTGATTTCAAACAGCAACTTGAGTAGATATGGACATTATTTAGCTTGCCCTAGCCGCAAATATTTTATAATTGCGGCTATCTCTGATTGCATTGGAATTGACATCCACGTTGACTTGATAAGGATTAGGTTTTCAAATCCCGCATCAAAGCCCTCCCAACTCTTTCGATTCCGTCACCGCGCCTTCAATCTCCGTGCACCCTTGTCTCCGCCGCTCTCTGCATCTGTATCTTCAAATTTTGCATTTCCTTCATTCGTTTAATAATGATAATAATAATAATAATGATAATAAGTCATGCATATTTTTTTAAAAAAAATTAGACATGAATTGCGGAAAAATTATTTTACTACCTCTAGCCATTAATATAAGAGTTAGTTGACTAATTTGAGTAGATTAAGAAAACTAGTTAAGTTAATTATTTGTAACAAATAAGTATTGTCTTTCTTAAAATATCATTGCTAATTAAGTATATTGGCTGGAATTATCATTATTGTACGGACTATCTTGAAAAAAATTAATAAATATGAAAGACAAAATGAATTGGGGTTTTATATTTAGGATCACAAGAAAAATTAAACGAGCTCTTATATTAAGGAGCAGGAGTAGTAACTGTGATTCTATATGATACGTTGACTTATTAGCTTGTATAAACCACGACAACCGTGCCTTCTGCTAATCAAGTGTTTCCTGGATAGGAATGACATATGGGTTCATTTTGTATTTGCCACACTACTCGATCGTAATTAACAGGCCACCGGACGATGAAGGCCTGGTGGGTTCATCAATCTGTATACCAAACGACTGCAACTTAACTTTCGCTCCAACAAAGCAAAGCTGTACGGACATGTGCATACCTATCTAGAACCATTTGTCACGTGCAATGATGAAAAAAGCTACACATTTCAATGTTGGCGGTCACCGTTCTCTCTTTCTATTCCATTACTCTCCTCCTCCTTCTTCAATTCTTCTATATATATATATATATATATATCTGTGTATATATAATTAAAGAAACCGGTATATGCTCAGCATATATTCAGAAGCAAGTTTTGATCATCAGAGAGGCTCGCATGAATGGTGAGAACGAAAGGTGCAGCCAAGGATGACTTGCCGGATTCTGTGTCATTCATTATATATATTTCATCTCATTTCGTCTCTCTGCACATCACCAATGGATGAATCGGGCAAGTTGTCTTTGGCTCCGTCCCTCTTTCTGCCCTTCATGCCAGCCTCTCTTGGTGAACGTAAACCCACAGCTCCTCCTCCCTCTTTTTCGTCATTTCATCACACACTCGTTTCTGTCCCTAAATCACACCACGCATATTCTTCTTACTCACCAATATCTCCCTTCGTATCTTATTCATTAAATTTAGGTTTAATCATAGTTGTTGCAGAGTCCATATTTTTCCCTAGGTATTAATTTCAGCACTTGATTTGTTATATCTGATGATGCAGAATAAGTTCCTGTTTTTCCCCCCCCCGGGGGGGGGGGAATCATCTTCTCTACATATCAAGCTGAACTTGATATATCAGGTGACGCCTCGTACCGCTTTAAGAATTTTTAGCTCGTCTTACTACGATATTTACTGAGTGCAATGTCAGAGGCCCTTGGTTTCGGGGTAATTAAATAAAAAATCACCGTATCATAACTACTACTAATTGGAAGAAGAAGCCAAGCAGGATCTTTCACTTCTATGTTTCATTGTTTCTTAAACATGCATAAACAGGACGAAGGAAATCAGTCAGAGCTTCCTTTTTTTGCTGATTTTTTTATGGTCAGAAAAAGAAAATCGGGGACGAAGGGCACAAGCAGTCAAATACTAGGGATTCGCATTTTGCCGAAAGGCCCACAGAGATTTGAAATCTTGGGAGGGTTTGACGTTTTGGAACTTTGTGGGTAGAAATTGAGGCACGCCCGGCGCCACCGCAAAGCAAAGAAAGGCCACGTTCTGTCTTCTATCTTTTCCACACTCCCTCTGTACTCACAACACCACTATTCTGTTCCCCGTTTGTGCAAAGATCTCCCAAAATCCATACACTTGGAAATCACAAAGCACGATTTTCCAGAAGCTTCCATCTTACCCATCCGAATTATGTGCGACGGACGGGACTTCATTCGTACATTAGGACCCTGCCATGGCAAGAGACGACAACGTTGTGTCTTCATCCCTACAGAAGGCATCCTCTGTATCCACAAACCCTGTCCTCAACTGAATTTGTATGTGAATGTTGTTTTCCCTCCCGCAGATATTATTTAACTTTACACAGGCTCAGTAACGCTGATGCGGGCCTTGTGTTAAGCCACAAATTTAATCCTTTTAATTTCTAAGTTTCATCTTGGAACTGGAAAAAAAAAAAGAACCAGAAAAAATAATTTGAGCAGAAATAGAACTAACAGAAGCTAAAATCTTCCATTGGCGAAAAGAAGGATGTGCATTTTACAACAGCAGGGACTGAGCGGATTCCTCCATGACACAAAAAGAGGAACTGGGAATCATACAGCTGACTGCTTCTGAATTGTTAAAGAACAGCAGGCTTGGATTCCCAAAAAGTAAATCCATTAGCCTGAAGCAATCTGGGAAGACAGACCACTAGACCAAAGCCTAAACTACTCGACTTCAACCTTAAATTTTCATTCTCACACCAGATGCTTTAAAAAAAAAAAAGAAGAGAAAACTGTACAAGGGATATGGTTAGGACTCAGGGCTCACAAAAAGACCCCGTCATCTCCCGGCGGTTGCCAGGGTTCTCTTCTCGGAGAGCTTCACCGTATCGGCCTTGGCCTCAGCTGCCAACTCTTCGGCATGCAGAGGTTGTGCATCATCACCTACCACCTCCTCCAGTGTAGGGACATGCGTAAGTTTTGATGGCTCCATTGGGAACTCTTGACCGGCAGGTTCATGGACGGGTTGAATTGGTTTGGGTTTGTAAGTGAAGTTAAGATCCTTGTTGGCAGCCAAAGCTAAGAGTTCCTTCTCCTCCAACCCTTTGGCTGGGCCTAAGCTGCATCTATCCGGGATGTGTTTGGCTAATGCATCCTTAAACTTTTTGATCTGTAATCAAAATCAAGTATTATCAGGGTTTTTGAGTTCAACACCAGGACAAGGGAAAAACAAATAAATCCTACAAATAATATGAACCCTGGGTTCACAGAACATGACGCCAAGAATCGATGGAGAATATGAAAAACATATAAACATCCAAGATCCAAATCTCGGGCTACGTTGAATCTTCTAATTCAGGTTGAAAACACTCGTCAATCTAGCAATCCAAACTCGGCATGCGAGAGCAACATGAACAATTAGTTGAATGCCATTCAAAGCATCGCTCACCAATCAATACTCATCGAGGGTACAAATAACCAGATCATGAAACTTGGAGAATTTATGATATGAAATAATCAAAACTGAAGCAGGTAACCGAAGAAAAGCAAAAAAAATGGAATGAAGAGGAGTAAGTTAAATACACATACCGTCGCATTGGTACAGCTAAAGCTGCATAAACGACCTTGTGAGCCTCTGTAGAAGCGAAAGAAGGGAAGAACGTGGACGCCAAGGCTATAACTCATAGCCCTATGCTCCTCATTGTTCACCTGAAGGAATAGCACATTCGGGTACATCTCTGCAAACTGGCATATCTGCCATAATACAAAAGGGAAATTGATGAATCTGGGACTGAAAGGAAAAAAGTAAGATCTCGCATAATCATGGGATAAATCTATAAATCAGAACAGATTAAGGGTGAAAATACCTTTGGATGGAGGGCTTTGCAACCGCCACAACCAGGAGAGAAGAAATCAACAATGACCAACTTGTCCCCTGCGTTTAGCAGGGAGTCCACAAGGTCTTGTGCCGAAGTTACCTCTTTCATGTTGGGTTGAAGTCCTTTCTCCCACCATTTTTGAGCGTTCCCGAATACGCGGCCCATCTATAATGTTCCATAACAGCGAAAAACGTTACAAAGAGAAGTTCCATAAAATTCCTCCGCGAATTCTTTTTTTAAAGTTTCAAGAAGAAATATTATGAAAATTTGAAGGATTTGTAAATAAGTTCCACAACTCGTCGCCTGAGGAAAGACCGGCAGAGTAAAGATTACCAACCTGAGCTGCGGTTGAAGCTCGGTATAGGGAAATCCCTTTGTAGGGTGTGCTTTTCATGACCTCAAAGACGATCTTTCTGCCATAAAATTCACTCTGCATCGAGGAAGATGAGGACCTGAGAACTTGAGATTTAAGTTGCAGAGAAGGGGACCTCCTCAAAGAACAAGAAACACCAGATTTGCAGTTTAAGTTCTTCGGAGCTACAGAGATTCTGCGACAATGGTGCCTCTGACTATTCCAAGATGAAATCAAACTGGTCTTGCCTAAAACCTCAGCCATTTAGATCAAACTGATCAACTACGACTGCAATCTAATATCTCTGCTTCTGATCACCAAGGAAGCAAATGGTAGAAAACCCAAATGAAAGCGTCGGAAAAATAGCTCTATCCACAAGAAATGGCTGAGCTGAGGTGCCGAACTATCGGCTTCAGGTGAAGGAGTGATCTATTGGAATGTGCCGCAGGAATTCGAAAACGCTTTTCAATATGTACTGCGTACGACAGACCTGTATTCGTTTTGTGATCGAGAAGATCAAACGGTGAGAAGTGATGATCAGATGGGGACGAGGCGAATAAAGAGGCAGGTGGCAAGGATATGGATATGGATAAGAAAAAATTTGGGGTCACGCAGAAGCCCGCTACATCTATGGTGAATAAAGTAGGTACGTGAACACCGCAGTTTTCATACACGTGGCGTGTCACTGATACTCTCAGTTAACCTTAGATTTAGGAAATATGACAATAACTGTAAATGGATATGCTTTTGGATAACGCACAACTCGTCGGCCACCTCGTTGACTTTTGTGGGCCCTTCAACTTAGTTTCCGTCTTTCCGAATTATGTGCTTAGCCCATTGGGCCAATGGGTCACTTGATGGACCAGCCCAGCAAATAAAACCTGTGGACCTTTACAAGGCCCACCTCTCTCCCTTTCTTCCTTTTCAGTATTTGTACTTGATCTATTGGTCACACCTCATCCTGAAAACCAAACAAGTTAACCCGTTATAGTAGTAGTTGGGTTTAACGAAAGGGGCTAATTCCTCACAATAGGAGGATACCTATACTTTAGCAAAAAAAAAAAAGTAGTTGGGTTAAATTAAATTAAATAGATTAGGCTAAATAACTTTTGAGATGAGATTATTTAGATATTAAATGAAAAAAAATAAATAACTTTTGAGATGAGATTATTCAGATATTAAATGAAAAAAATTGATCTTAATGTAAATTATTTAGATCTTAATTTATAAACTCGATTTTAAATTTTCAAGATAAGGGATATTTCATTCGTGAAGTGATTAAATACTTAAAATAAATCGAAAAGTAGTATTTCATTTTCCGCTGTGGGTGAAGGCATCAGCTGTAAGTTGAGTAGCAGTATCGGTTATCCCTCCCTGCTCCTGCTTAAATTTGAATTGGATTCTCTGACATCAAGTTAACTCTGGACCCACGCAACAAAACAAGACCAGCGGTGATAGGACATCAAAATAAAATACCGAATCCTTGGCAGTGCTAATATGCTAACCCGTTGGAAACATGTTCCATGTGTCATCAGTGTTTTCAAAATTTGAACTTGTTATAGAATAAAGAGAGAGCAGGGAAGAAAAGTAAAGAATTAGAGAGGAGACAATATAAGAATATTTCTCATTCCATTTAAAATACTAGATACCTAATATATGCCCTGAATTTATAATCACAGCTTTATAATTTTAACAGAATTTACAAATTACATAATAATAAAAGATAATTCTGAGATAATATATTAAAAATAATAGGAGAGATATTCATAATCACACTGAAATAATTATATCCACAACCAAAGTTTTTTTTTTTTTTCCTTCCCAATGTTGTCTTCCATTACGAGACGTGCATAATTTATAATTAGGAACGAGAGCTAGGTCTAGCCGTTTAGTGCCTTCAGGTGAGCATTCGACTCGCTCTGATCTTTCAAGACTCCTGCACCCGCCTCCCCGCCTCCCACTCATATGGGGCCGAAGCTATTGGTTCCTTGTTAATTGTTCTGCCACATTTCACATTCTTTCAGCTTCATTTGGACCTCCACTTTTCCATGGTTTCCAGCACTTTCTCACTAGCATGCAGACGCATTACTGAGCGTGGTACAGCCTTAACTTCTTGTCCCGGCACTTGGCAAAGCAAAGGAGGAAACTCCCATCTACATCCCTATACTCCTTCAATATGCAGCAGCATGGTCTCTCCCTCCCCTTCGCTAGCAGTTCCTTCACGCGTCCAAGAATCAGTGGCGCTATATATTTTCGTCCGCATCGCACTCATCTTCACACCCCACTTCCCCATTCCAAGACTACGGTAATTCCTTCGTTCGCTGCTAAAGGCCACAGTCTTCTCCTCTTCGCAAAGTCTGCATCTCTTGATCGAATGGCATTTTCTTCCCATGCGACTTCAGCCGAAGATAATGGCATAACTGTCAACAATCCCAGCAAGCATCAGAGAACAGGTAAAATTCGCGATGGGAATGGAAATACCCAGGGGAAGAGCTTCTGGGGTGCAGTTAGTTTAATCATTGGCACTGCCGTGGGCCCAGGAATGCTTGGTTTACCGGCTTTGACTATCAAATCAGGTCCATTTCCTTCAACAATCGTCATTCTTCTGTCTTGGGTCTATGTCATCTCCTCAATCATACTTGTGGCAGAACTCAGCTTTGCTACCATGGAGGAAGATGGGATCCAAGAGGTGAGCTTTACGGGCCTAGCTACAAAGGCGTTGGGACGTCGTTTTGGTGCATTTGTTGCTTTGGTTTACACCAGTCTGAGTTTTTCCTTGTTGGTGGCTTGTGTTGCTGGCATTGGCGCCATTTTTTCTCCCTGGTTCCCCTGGCTTAAGGCTTCGGTTGTTCATGCCTTGTTTCCGCTAGTTGTTGGAATATTGATGGTCTTTTTCCCATTTAACACTATTGATTTCGCAAACCGGATGCTATGCTTCCTCATGCTTTTCTCTATAACTGCATTGGTTTGTGTGGGAATGTCTGTGGCAAGAACTAACATTATAAGTTCCTTTGGTTATGCCTCATGGAGCCTTTCATCAATACTCCCGATAATACCTGTGGCTGTACTTACATTGGGATTTCATGTCATCACTCCATTTATATGTAAGATTGTTGGGAATACTGTACATGAGGCTAGAAAAGCTATACTGATTGGTGGGACTGTTCCTTTACTTATGGTTTTATCATGGAATTTGATAGTCTTGGGACTTGTAGGGGCTACCAGAACGCCCAGTTCAGGCAATTCTAATGACCCTATACCCCTTTTACTTTCAGTAAATCCATCTGCTTCATCTGCTGTTCAATGTTTTGCCTTCTCTGCTATGGCAACTAGCTTGATAGGATATGCCGTAAGCTTGCCTAAACAACTTCTTGACACATGGGAGTTGATATCCGGAAAATCTACCGTTTCTAATGGGCATGGCTGTGGAGGAGTTGGATTGGCCTTTAATTCAGGAGAATCTGGTATCGGTTGTCCAGGAAAGGTTTCCCTCGGAAGTTCAAGGGATTTTACCATGGTAGAATCTAACACAAGACCAACCAACCATTTGTTTGAGACGTTTAAAGTGATTGTGACAGTATCGGTCCTTGCTCTTGCAACCCTCATAGCTTCGTTCTTTCAATCTACATTTTCAAGAGCTCTCGATTTTGCCGGGGTTTATGCCAACTGCTTTTTGTTCGGTATTATTCCTCCTGTGATGGCTTACATACACCAGTCCAAGAAGAAACTCAGGTATGGCTAAGTAGTTCAAAGAAAGATAATAAGTGGGCACACAATAAAACTAAGCTCTGACGTCTGAACGGAGGAAAAACAAGCTATACTTGTAGCAATTCTCCCTTTGTATTTTCCTATATAAAGGAACTCCGAAGCTAAGCGTAAGGCCACGAATTAAAATGCTTGATGCCAAAACCTGCTTTCAGAGCATCGCATTAATTAGAATACCAACATCAAGCTTATACGTACATGGACATATTCTGATACTCAAATTCCCGACAGGTTATTTAAAAATTACACAGTCAACCAGATGATAGCTCATATATTTTTGTCATGAAACTTCCATTTTTCTCTTGAAATTATTCGAAATTCACTTTAACTGATAGCAGCACTATTCTTGTTTATTATTTTCCCAATGCTAGCCTGTTTAAAAATAAATGACCAAGGTCCTTGGCATTGACAGTGATTCTCTGATTTTGTAGGTCATCAATACTTCCAGGAGGAAATGGGGCCCTGCTCTTGCTTTTCATTATTGCCGTCATTTTAGGAATTTGGCATTAGCTTTGTTCCGTTATGGCTGCTGCGAACCTCCCGGCCTTCACCTCTAAGGGCATTTATCGTGCTTTTGCAATTCTTGGAAATTGAAAAGATTGAAGATGGTTTCTTGGCGTGCATGAGAAAACGAGCGGATAGATTATTGTTTTGCTCTCATTAACTACGACGTATTACTGTCGGCAGGACCAGATTCAGTTCATCTTGTCCATAACTAGTTTTATTGTTAACATAGTTCATATATATAGTATAATCTTCTGGCTTCTACATTTTCACTTCCACAGAAAAATATCAGATAGTTATCGTCCAAAATTTATCACAGCTGCGAAACAAAGAAGAGAAGATAAAAGGACTTATAATTATAATTATATAATTCAAGAAAAATTAAGACTAATCAAAATCGAATATAAATACGAAAGTGAGTTGACGATATTTCCCAAAAATGACTTACATTTCCTAGGTAACAACAGAAGTGCAATCGCATAGCACATACAGCATACCCTGAAACCTTAGTTTGCCCTTTCCATCCTTTCTCAACGCCAACAGATCACAAGATACCAGAATATTATCCATAACTATCTTTTAATGATTAAAATGATTACAAGTCCGTTGACTTTTTGTACAGTTTATTTGATCAAATCCCTGATCAACCATCTGCATGCACTAGGAGGGATGGCCTTGCCGCAGCCGCTGCAAGGAAATTATGCGGAAATGACCTCTGAAAGAACCGTACTGCATGTCATGGAGCCCTCGCACCAGGTGCAGTCCCTAGGTCCATCACGCGCAAAAAGTAGTTATACATTCCAACATCTTACTCCAGCAAGCCCAAAGCCCGCATCAAGAATGATCCTTGCATGTTTGATTAAAAACAAAGGATGAACACAGGCCACAACTACCTTCCTGACTGTTAGGGCACCTGTGATCGAGAGAACGATCCCCTCCCAGTCAATGAGGAGCATTAGCCATCCTGCTATCATGCTACCAATACTAAGCGTCAAGCAACTGACCGTCATGCAGCAGTCTTTACTCTTATTGGCCACGGATTTATGTTCCTTTGGCGGCGGCAGTATTGCGACCAAACTGAATGATCATTGGCTTTCCTTTGAATACATACCCATTCACTAAATTCTGCACTCAATTGTAACGTGCAGTGTTAATCTTGAGCACAACAAGACAAAGAACAAAAGAATTAAGAAATTATAATTTATCAGCATGACTCACGGAAAAAGAAACATGATTCCAATATGGAGAACTGCGAATATGGCTGTAACAATCTACAAGAACTAATCCCACAACTAACTGATTTTCTCATTGCGCAAACTTTACACATTTGATGACAAAAGGATGGAACAAGAAAAATACAAAGAAAAAATCTACAAAACTGTTTGGACAAACCCAAGGGGCACTTACCAAAGCATGCTGAGCCAATTCAATAGATGGGAATGTTAAAAATGCTTGACCTCTCATCCTTCCTTCCTGAAATTCAGAAAGAAATGAATTTGGCTCATGATTATGAGATTAAAAAGAAGGTATTGTTCAATTTAGAAAAAAAGAATAAGTAATTTGGGGATTGTGTATTCAATTTAATAATGAATTGCATTTCTACTTTTGCTACTTCTACATTAATTAGATTAGAGAATTAGAATGACTTAAATAATTTGATTTTCTATTTCCAGTCACTCAAAATTGAACCATCAGCGCATATCAGCAGCAACGTACTAATAACATCCAAAAAATATCAGTCTTCCTCCCCTGCAGATAAAAAGCCAATCAAGATCCTACCTGCATAAGCTTGACCTGAAGAGTAGACCTTGCAGCCTCAGTACTTCCGAACAAGGACCCTGAGGTAATAAAAGAAAGATAGGGTAACCATGTACATAAAGCCTTAAACCTGCCTACATTTTTACTTCGGCTCTACAAGCCTTCGAATTACAAGAGAAGAACTACAAAGTGAACTAGCACGCCAGGCAACTGAATACCGTTGAAATGTAGCTAATATTGAAGTCTGGAAGCTTACCAAATATGAAATAGAAATCATCAGCAATCGCATCTTTGGCCAAATTTTTTATATACAACACAGGAGCTGGATTTCCAGCCGTATAGTTCTGCAAAATCCATCAATTCAAAACAATCAGTCCCATAAGAACCCATTTTGCACCACATAATCTGTCATAATATATCGTTGTTAAACTAAATCATCAGGAATTCAAACAAGCATATCAGAATGTATAACAACATATGATATGATGCTTTGAATTTGGAAAGGGAAGGAAGGGTCAATAGCCCTGCATATCAGAATGACGCAACAGCAAGTGCGGGAAATTTATACTCCAAATAAATCGTCTAAGCCGTATAGGAGTTAGTTCTTGTGGTGCTGTGATCTCTAACTCAACTGAGCAATGGGTGATGGGATTTTACTGGAAGTACGTTCGCCTGTGATCACTACCATCAAAGGCTGATGTAAAGGTCTGGAAGTGAGTTGGCTTAATGGACTTCATGACGTTGAGGTGATTAATGACAATCCTCCTTAGAAGGAGGTTGTGAAAGGAATATAGGTTTTTTCTTGTTTTTGCTTTTTTATTGTATCTTGTTCATCATTTATTTATGATAGATCCTCCGTTTTCATTCCAAAACCCAAAAAAAAAAAGAAAAAACTATGGACTTCCCATTTGAAACTAATTTCAAGTTAATCCGAAGCCACAGAAAAACAAAAACCAAGTAGTTGCCACTATGCAGTCCAGGACCAACAGAAAGCATATATAGCAAATATCTTCAGGGAAGAATATTGCTCAACGGATTTGAGTGAAATATGTTTTTGCCCGACACATTTTTGTGAAATACGAAACCACTGCAGAACATGATAAGAGCCGTAGTGGTGTCAGGCTCATCCATTCGTCAATAGCTACAAACAATGACTATGAGAGTATTAAAAAACATTCAATCCATTAGCATACACTAGATCAATAAATCACTCGTCACTATTATCTTTGTGTAATTGCCAGGATATTCTAAATCCGTACCTTAAACATTGGAAGAGATAAAATTTCCTCTGGAGGTAATTTTCCACTCTTTAATTCTTCCGGAGTCAGAAACTCTTTGGGGCCTAAAGTCTCTTTTTCTGGCTCCATTAACTCTTCCGTTGTGTTGTCATCTTTATGTTCACTTTGAATTGCTTTAGGAGCAATTTTAATCTTCAAAAACATCAAGAAGAACAAATATCAGTACATCAAGAAATAGCATCAAATCCAAACATGAATAGTTTGGCCTCCCCAAAAAATACTGTGCGAGCATAGGCCCCATATTCTAGTTAAAATATACAAAAATATAACTTCATCCTGTGACCAATCGCATGAAAATTAACTACCTGTAAGACAGGGTTCCTCTTTTTAATCATTGGAATTTCTTTAGGAACCAACGTGGCTGGTTTTACTCCAACAGCTTCATGAGCCACATCTTTATCAATGGCAGGGCCAATAATGGTTTCATGTCTAGCACGCTTTTGTCCAGACTTTGCCGCTCTTGCCAGACCAATAGAACCCATTTTCCCATCAACCTCCTAAAAATTTCATATTAGTATTCTTTCTGATAAAAAATTATAAAGAAAAAGCATATCAAACTAGCTCTATAATTTTGTTAGCTGATACCCATTTACAAATAATTGAAAATTTCCTAATTATTTCTCAATATGAGTACAACAAGAGCATGATGTCTAAGTATAATTTATATTGACAGAAAAGTTCTTCACAGTAGCATGAACAATATACATTATAGCATATTGATTAAATTTGTAAAAGGATGATAACTAAAACATTAGCGTATTGAGCCAACTTTGAAGTGTTAGCCAAGCTGCACCATCACAATCATACGAATGATCACTAAATAACAGACATGCCCCACAGCCTAATATTTGATAGAGGAACAGAAATCAATCTTACATCATCTGAAGATTCCATCTCCGATTCACTGCTAGAGAGATCCGCAGTTTGAGGTTTCATGGTTATAGATGGGGGAGGAGGTGGTGGAGGTGGAGGCGCTGGTACTTGTGCAGGTAAAGGTGGAGTGGGCAGTGCCATACGAAATGGAGCCGGAATATTCATTTTGTTCATTAGGTGTAGCACCTATATCAGAGGGGTGCAACCAATAAGATCATTACTGTTAGGTCCGTAAAACCTAGACATACAAAAAAAAAATGCTAAACAAGCAGGAAAAAAAATAAACAAATAAAATTATTGAAGCCTCATTTAGCTTTTAAACAACCTGAGTGTAAAAGCGGGGAACAGCAATGAGTGCATTTACAATGTTTGTCAGTATATTCCCATCAGGTGGTGGGTAGGCATACCTGCGAAACATATTTCATAATACAACAATTAACCTTCAAGTAAAACTGGTTTCTACTTTCCATAATTGCCCAAATACCTACTAATCTATCATCTGTTATACTAAATTATTAGGGTTTTCCTTTCAAATTGATTCAAGATTCTTTCCTTTCAACAAAATAGAAGTATAGATACTTGCTAGCTTTTTCCCTTGCAATTTTTACGCAGTGCCCTTTTCTCAATCTACATAATGTTAGATGGTCAACTTGCCCTGCACACTTGGGCAGTGGATGGGTAACCCCAAATCAATGTAAAAGCGAAAATTGCAGAATAACATGAAGCCACATACTCAAGGTGAGGAGGAAATGGGTAGTCAACACCCAGTCTTGCAGCAATTGGTTCAGAAGGAGGGGCTCCTGATTTAGAATTATCATTAAGAGATTTGCTGACAGTAGCATTTTTCACCACTGATGATTTAGAATCCTTCCCCAGCTGAGATCCACTGCTTTTTTTGCTGTTCTCAATTGGGTTACTAGCTCTCTCTACTGACAAGACTTTACTGAGAAATCTCAACCTGAGAACCAACAAGAAAATCAGGATAAAAGACGTTCAATCAATAAAAGGGTTTAGTTTTAAATTTTCCATAAAAATTTAAACTTATTCCCATTTATTTAAATAGATTGTCTTTCCATGTGACTAAATCAGGAAGCATGAAAAGAATAGCAACTAAATGCACTGATACCTTATTTTCAAATATGCCACCAGTATTATCAATTGAAAATGCTTTAGAGGGGGAAAAGGCATAGGATTTAAAGGAGTACCCATTTAGTTGACGATGTGCTTGAGAAGCTAGCATATCATTTTTAAAATCTACAAAAGCACAGTTTCTCAACCTGCATTGGATCAAGCAATTAAAAAACACGTATGTATGATCTAACAGTGAAAACTGACAACAAATGTAGTTAATCAAAGGGCAGTTAACTGTTCCATGTCATCAACCCAATAAACATGTACAAGTGACTTGAAGTTGTAATCAGTGAATTAACATGAGATCCAGGAACTGAGGTATATAAATGAGAATGGCCCAGAAAAGTAAGATGCAGATGTTTAAGAAGATAAAATTTTCCATTTACCGAACCATCAAAGAAGTTGCCGACAAGCTCTATAGCCATTTATGATTTTATTCAAAGTGTAAACAGAAACACTAGAGAAAATTCAAGTTGTGAGAGCTTAAATACCTTCCACTAGAGCAAGGACGAATAGAGGAAGCACCAAAATGGGATAAGAGTCGAGAAAGGGTTTCATGAGATATAGCTTCAGGAAGGTGCTTAATCAAAAGGGTAACTGGAGACTCCCCAGCTGAAGGCTTTGACTCTGGTGCTTCGGTGACTTGAAATCCAAACTGGTCCATGTTGGCAATGACAAGAGGATGGAGGGCTGTCAACCAGAATACTGATCACTTCCTCTTCCCTAACTTCAGAAATGGACAGGCCTTTAGACTAAAAGGATTTAATGAAAGTATGATAGTAAAAACAAAAGAATTTACCTATACATATAGAATTTTCATCCACGTAGAGTATTATCATTAGCAGTTTATCTTCCTATCTTTGTTATCTACCAAGAGAGCATAAACAGACCAAGCATTATACCCACAACATTATGGGTGGAGGATAGACCACAAGGGACTACACAACAGATATATAACAAAACTTTTAAGCCTGCTCAAAAACGATGGACGTGAACGGTGAATGCGTGGAGACTAAGGTAAACGGAAACTCTTCGAAACCTACTAGGACGGAAGACGATTATGAGACTCGTGGAGTGCTAGTTTGAGGCGAATCAGTTCTAGATGGGCGAATATTCATGCACCCAGACTCACCTACGGAGTTACGTTAACAAGATAACTCCATTACACCGAAAGGAAAAGGCCAAAAAAAAGGCAACTACTCGAGTAAGAGCACCATTGCAGTTATCTCTGTCGGTCCTATTCTCCTTTTGTACCTCTTCGATATCAATTACATCGCTCACAGAAGATTAGACATAAAATGACACCAAAAAATTTAAAATATGTACCTTCAAATCACTTCATAATGAAAAACAATACAATGCTCAGCGGGCTTCAGTTACCGGAGGTAGACGACTTTCCCGGAGAGAAGACCTGCCCGTGCTGTCAGACCCTTGAATTCCCAGTGAACAGAGAAGCAGAAGACGCTCGACCATGAAGGAGGAGGGAAAAGAGAATTCACGATTCTCTGGGCTTTCTCCAAGCGGAGTCGACTACACGTCGTGGAGGCAAGTGTTGTTTCGTCGGCACCGCGGGGCGAAGCCGAGGGACGATCAAAGGCTAGGCAAGGAGCGGGGGCGGGGGTCGTCGAGCAAATTGCAAATCGGTGCGTGGATTTCTTTGGGCCCGGTCAAGAAAGCTTACTTGGGCCTTATTATTTTAGCTGGGCTAATCTCAAATTGGGCCACCGATTTTTACTCTAAGCCCGCTTAAACAAGGGCAAATGCGGGTTGGTAGGTAACCCTGCCTCCCTTCCGGTAAGTTAGTTGGACCCGTTTTCACTGCTGCGTAGCCGTCACCCTCGCGCGTAATTTTCGTTCGCTCTGAACCCCTTAGTCGTATTTATTCTTTTCTTCTTTTTTTTCACTTCGCCACTAGCACTAATGCAATGTGCACATGTTTTAATTTTACCATTAAAAAGATTACAGTGTTTTTAATCCTTTGCCACTAGCGGGTCGTACTTTTTAAGCCAAAGAAGTTTAAGAAGCAGCCATTGATTCAACAACTCGGACTTGTCAAAAAACTGCTTTTTCCAAAAAAATTATTTTTTGAGAAATTACTGCTGAATCAAACCTCTTGAGAATATAAGAAGTCTTTTATAATTATAATTTCACTGTTACTCTTGTTTTCAAATCAAATCATAATGATATCCCATGGAAGAGATGGTTTCCAAATAGAAGACGATATATATGTATGATGAAGTAACAAGGGACAAAAGTTATAGGTAGTGAGCTCCCTCCCAAGTCCACAGCCGGTTGGAAATTTAACATTCTTTGGGTGTTTCCTATTCGTGATTTGTGCGCGCGCGTGCGTGTGTGTGTCTCTTTTTCTTTTTGTGGTTGTGTGTAATTAAGTAATAATAGGTAATTATACGGGAAATTATATACGAAGACAATCTAGAACCTCGTCTAAGGCAATGAACTAATTAACAATGATGATACATAGATCAATAATTCATGGATGGGGATGACCTCATGATGTGTGTGTGTGTGTGTGGTTGCAGGTCCAACATATAGACATCACAACCATAATTACTTGCCCTCTCTCTTGTTTCGTCAAACAACTGCTCAAGGATTAGGTTTCAGATTTGATCAGTAATAATCCATATAGATGATGATTAAGTCAACCATCAAACCCTCCCCCCCCCCCAAAAAAAAAAGAAAAGTAAAACCTGCGTTTCCACCCCAGCCTTTCACACCAATCCCCATTGCATCCACATTTTAATTTTTTGGGAAAAATTAAACAAGAAATAAAATCATGTATCGATTTGTATGCTTGTGCCAAACAATATATGTCGTTTACAATAATTGAATTTCGTCATTATTAATATCGATGTGTGCCTGCAAGACACAAGTGCAGCATAGGTTAAGTTTTTGTCATGATGTGTATGCGGAAAATGGGAGAGTATAATTAAGGTGCGTGATGTCCCAAAAACATAATATGATTTGAGCTTTGTATAATAATTAACATGGGGTTATAATAATTGTTGGGCCCCGAATTGTGATTGAGGCAATGGTTCGATACATATGATACAATTGCAGCCAAAACCTAACAACTATAATTGAAACAAAAGTAGCCACACGAATCACCGTGTTCCTCCGCAATCATCATTGCGTATTCCTTAGCATTTGTCATTTGGCACTAATGCTTCAAACTGGATATTATATTGTCTGCTGCGTACCCATAACATTAGAATCTGATTTAACGACATCACTGTGTACTGCACGACACATCGTTTTTAGGGTTGTCTTGGTTTAGATCTCATCCTTAATGAATCATGCACCCCCCCACTGATCATTATTGCATCTCAATTATCCAGGAATTATAACTTGTTTTGCAATCAACAAGTTGACATGTGAATATATTAATAATTCAGAAGATGCGGACTGCGAGTGGACATTTTAAACTGTTCTGCATATAACAACGATCATTATTATTATTTTAATTACTTAAAATAAATAAAAAACAATAGTACTTCTTCATAGATACTATCATTTTGTGTTGGTCACGAGAAGGAACGAACAATCAAATAAAAAAAAATTCCCGGCGAAGTACTCTTCCAGACTTATAATTATTACTAAAATGAATAATTAGATGAGATGGCCGAAGAATTTTCCAATTCTCAGTAATTAATTAATAAATCATGAATTAATTCTTTCTTATTAGGTGAGGAAACCCACCTATATATCTGTCGTGTATATATAAAGATATAGATATTTTCAGGTACATACATTTTGGTAGGTATTAAACATCAAATCATCAAATCCTCAGCCTCATCCGTATATAGATCTATACATTATTTTTCAGAATTAATTAAATGGAGAGGAGAATTAAAGGACCAAAAAAATTTTAAAGGGTGGTGGACTGGTGGTGTTTAATTATTTGTGGAAGGGGATTAATTAATTGGGGTGGGAGGGAAATAGGCAGATTCAATGGACACGGAGAAGAATGGTAGAGGATGACGTAAATATTATATAATAAATATAAATTTGGGCATTTACATTTAAGAGTTGTGTATGGTTTTGGGGCAGCGATTGAGAAGTCTGAGTTGGAGGATGGTGATTGGTGGGTTGAAGCCGCACAGCCCCGTGTTTTCATGCAACAAATCAGGGCTTTCTGATTCAGATGCAAGCATATTCTCTCATTCCCTCCCATCTTTAATTTTCCCTTCTTCCTTCTCCTTTTGGTGAATGAATAATGCCGTTTATTTCTTTTCTTTCTAATCTACATTTCAAATTTCTTGCATGACTGTGGTTAAATATATTTCTAAATATAAAATTTCAGTCTACTTCATTTTTTATATTTATTATTTTCATTCAAACTAGTTTAATCGACTTATAAACTTATATATATAATATAATGTAATATTATACAATAAGGATATTTTAAAAAATATATCTTATTTATTATAATTAACTAATTTATTTAATTTTTTAATATACATAAATTAATTAAATCTAATATTAAGAATCTAATGGAGTGCTACATATCAAGCAGAACCTAGTTGATGACACAAGCCCACCCAAAAAAAAAGAAAGCAACGTAGTTTTATAAAAAATTATGAATTACTGTGAATCATTTCGAATTAAACGGACTCGAACCCACACTCAAAAGTAGGTCGAATAAAATCATATACCGTTAAATTCACATAGTAATTTTAAAATAAAAAGTTGGAGCTCAATTTTATGACAAACTTAATGCGATTTGTTAACGTTGGTGTTAGTTTATTTGTAAAGTCATAAAAAAAGTGTTCACACTTTTGATGTGAATGAGCGATGTGCACGTGTCAATCTTCTTACCTGATTAATTATTTTCCCAATATATATATATATATATATATATATATATCATAAAGAAATGGCTGTTTGTGAGCGGCTGAATTTCAATGACTATAAACATTTTTTATATATGGGTAGAAAATGTCAACATTTTCTTAACACGAATAATTTCAACAAATCCTGCAGGAAAGATCTCCACCGTTTATTTTGGTCTATCATCTTATTATGTCATGAGACCCAAGCTCCAAAATAACATTATTTCACTTGTTAGGGTAAACAGATGAAACGATGCAACATCAAGTGATGGCTCAAAACAAAACGTAGGTATCTTCACAATGAAGTTGAATAATCCTCCAGTGTATAAGGGTCTTATATTTAAGACCGAAGAAGTACTCCTCCGGTCCTTATTATAAGACCCCATTTGACTTTTTATTTGGTCCTAATTATAAGACCTCAATCCATTTTGTCTCTTATATTTATGCATTTTTTTTCAAGATAATCCTTCTAATAATGATAGTTTTAGCTAATATACTTAATTAGTAAGGATATTTTAGGAATGACAACACTTATTTATTATAAATAACCAATTTAACTTACTTCCTTAATCTCCTCAAATAAGTCAATTGGGTTTTATAATTAGGATCGGAGGAGTATTAAAAAAGAATCTATAGGCTTTGCTGCACTGATTATATATATATATATATATATATATTCTTAACAATTGACTTCAACTAATTTTAAATGAAAAAAGCAGCTATGGAAATTAAAAGCCTATCATCATCATCTTCTTCTTTTTTTTAATAGGAAACGGGTATTTAATTAAAAAGTTACTACTATTTGCTCTTTTCACCTCAAAATCTGTGATTCTAGCAAATTACACATGACAAATAATTAAAATTCAATAACTTGTGAATTTGAAGGACAATGTAGGTCATTATTACCTGCCTAATCTAATAATCTAAGTGTGGGATTCTCACGAGCCTGTTTCTATAAGTATGCTGATCACTATCCCTCGAACCATTCTATGCTTGCACTCATTTTCCTCCATGGAAAAGAAGCCCTAGCAAGAGAGATCATTGCAACAATAAAAAGATAGCAGAAGAGGAAGGCATGTAAACCCAAAAGGGGCGGTTAAGTTGCCCACAAGCATAAAACCCCTATAAAAGCTTTGCTTTGAATGGAAAAGATATGACTCTCACCTTTTTCCTTTATTTCTTTTCCCTTTTAAAAGAACATGATCAAAGAACCTTAAATTCACATGATGAAACCTTTCTTCACTTCCAATAACCGATACCCTTATCCCAATTCTCCGCCAGATTTGGCGTACTCACTATTCTCATCTCACCGCTTTTAACCTCCTTTTCGCTTCTCTTTGCTTATGAATCCTTCTATCTATCTTCAGTTCCTTCTCCCACTCACATTCACTTGTGTTATTCTTGTCTCTGATCCTCTTCCTAAATACGATCTTATCCTTTCAGCAACAGTTATTACCTAAACGACACCTATGCGATTAATTACGAGCATTAAAGTTTTCGAAACGCACGTATATATATATATACACATGTACATTCGTATATGTCCAATATATATACACAGAGGCAGCTTGAGAAAGGCGTACAAGCCATGTATATATGTATGTATACGAGTCTTCTTGTGCATTATTCTTTTCTTTTGGTGTACAAACGTCAGAAAGTTGTACGTTCTGGCGGCACACAGTTAATTATTAGGAGCTGAATCATGGAATATTTTTGGGGTAGGCGCATG